ATTCAGCGAGGTACATTGTTAGGCAGATACCATTAGGTCTTCAGAAGAACATTATATCGTGCCAGGCATGATGGCACATGTCTGTTATCCCAGCACTCAGGAGGCTGAGCCAGGAGAATTGCCACAAGGTCGAGGCCAGCCTAGGCTGTTACAAAGTGAGTTCAAGGTCAGCTTAAACTACGGAATGAGACCTTGTCTCCCCGCCCCCCCCAAAAAAAAAAATCACTGAATTTTGATCAAAGCTTCAGGGCGGGGTGGGGGTGGGGGGCGGGGAGATAACTCAGTAGAATAAGCACTTGCCTGGCAAGCTCAGGGTCTGAGTTCAATCCCAATTTCTGCCAAAAAAAAAATTTCAGGGCTGGGAATATAGCTCAGTGGAGGTTCCTTAGCATGTGTGAGGTCCTGGGTTTGGTCCCCAACACTGTAAGTAAGATTAAAAAGAAATTTAAGTTTTTACTAAAATTTTTGTTTCTTAGGGTACAGCCAAAGACCGGAGCTTTGGAGAGATGAAGTTTAAACAGTGCCCTACAGAGAACATGGCTCGTGAGCATTTCAAAAAGCATGGGGCCGAGCACTACTGGGACCTTGCACTGAGCGAATCTGTGTTGGAGTCCGCTGACTGAGACCGCTGCAGGCCCTGGCCTCCCCCTTGCCTTTCTTCAGTCCTCTCCCTGTTCTTCATGACCCACTTCAACTTGGCTGTGTGATCACAGACCTGTGCCAAGCAGGTCTGGGGCAAAGGGAGATACCTTTGCTCCCCCCCCAGTCAGCTTGGTACTTTCCTTTATTCCCTTATGTGCATATGATTAAAGAGTTATTTTTAAGATTGGTATCATATTTTTTACATGTTCATAGGCATTAGAGACTGGGTCTTAGGTGATCTTTTTTTCCAGACTTCCAGGACTTGCTGTGTAAAAATAAAAATTGTTACTGATATTTATGTGTATATGAAAATGGATGATGGATGGATGAATGGGAATGTCCAACTTCATCCTAAAGCAAGAGTAACAAATTAAATAGTTTCTGGAACAAAACAAAGCAGGAGGAGGTATTAGTGGTGAAGGAATGGGAAATGAGTTCTTTGCTAACCATTAGTAGATAAAAATTACAAGTTAACAGACCATCTTAGGTGTTGGCTCAGTGGTCTTTCAGGAAATGAGGTAATGGCACGTATGGGAATGTGTGTTCCGGCTGAAGTAGACCAGGATGAGGGCTGGGGATGTAGCTCAGCACACAGCACCTGCCTGGCAAGTACAAGGCCCTGGGTTCAGTTTCTGGTACCAAAATAACTCATTTTTCATCTCTTTTACTAATACAAAAAAGAATTTAGGTAATTCACAAATTGTAAGTTTTATATTGAAAAAATAGGTTGCAGAGATGGCTCAGTAGAATAAGCGCTCCCTGGCAAGCGCAAGGGCCTGAGTTCAATCCCCGGTTCCACCAAAAAAAGTCAAAACACCCAGAGTAAGCCCTGTGTTGACACATGCCTGTCATCTGAACATTCAGAAGATTACAAGGTACATCAAATTTGGGCAAGTTAGCAGCTTGAGGAGATTGTTACAATGTGAAAAAGGGCTGGGGATAGAGCAGTGAGGAGGTCCTGTGTTCAGATCCTTCTGGGGGGAAAAAGGTAGTAAAGAGGAAGGCTTGGGGCCGGGGAGATGGCTCAGTAGGATAGGCGCTTGAGTGGCAAACACAAGGATCTGAGTTCAATCCCCAGTTCCGCCAAAAAAAAAGGGAAGGCTGGATGTTGTGGTGAGGCCTGTGATCCCAGCACTGGGAGCCTGACAGAAGAGGATTGCAGGGTGCCCAGCATGGGCTATTTACTACTTACCAAGACCCTGTCTCATAGGTAGAATTTTATTTTTATTTTTTTTTTTATTTTTTTGGAAATACAACTTTATTCTCATTCTAAACGAAAAGGAATGGGAATGACAGTAACAAACAAGATTTCACCACCGAGTACTGTGATGTGACTGTAGCAGTCTTATATTTGAAACTCAAGGAAAACAACTGCGTTCCAAACAGCTAAATATGCAGGTACAAAAAACGAGGGTTTAACTGCCACACTCACTCCGAAACCCATTCATCTCCTTCCGCATCCCAAAGATGAAGCACATGTCTGCTTAGCTATCATAGGTAGAATTTTAAAAGGGACTTGGGATGTGGCTCAGTGCAAAGGCCCCGGGCTTAACCTCCAGTGCCAAAGCAAGTTATATAAACTATATACATGAGGAAGAAAAGCCAAGGACTGACAGTACCCAAATTGAAGTTTTACTCTGAAGCTCAAGTAGAAAAACAGTGAAAGAACAGCAAAATACACTGAATAGAGCTGGGGCACAGTATAAGCCAGGCAAGTGCAAGGTCCTGAGTTGGATTTTCTCCCCACCCCCCAAAAAAAAGATTGATGGAAGCGAATATAAGAATAATCTACGGAACTGGGGAGATAGCTCAGCAGCATAAATGCCTGCCTGGTAAGTACAAGGTCCTAAGTTTGATCCTGGTACCAAAAAAAAAAAGAATTAGCCTACAGATAATCCCAACTATATACAGTCAACTCTATTTGTGTGTGTGTGTGTGTGTGTGTGTGTGTGTGTGTGTGTGTGTGTGGCCAGCTCAGCCCACCAGGAGGTGAGGGTGGCTGACACGTGGTGCTGGGGGATTGAACCGCGGTCCCTGTGCTTTGCTTGGCTTAGCTTGTTCTAAGTAGGTGCTTTAGACCACTGAACCATCTCACCAGCCCCGTCAACTCCTTTTTGAGGAAGAACCAAGGAAAGAGTTCGAAAAAGTGTTGGAGCTTTATGCTGGTGGAGTGGTAGGTAGTACGTACCTATAATCTCTGCACTCAGGAAGCTAAGGCAGAAGAATTGTGAATTTGAGCCCAACCTCGACTACACAGTGAGACTTTGAAAAACAGTTGGGAGCCTGGCATGGTACAAGCCTGTAATCTCAGCACTCAAGAGGATGAGGCAGGAGTATCACTTAATTCAAGGCCAGACCAAACTGCACAGGAAAATCCTGTCTCAAGAAAAGTGTTGAGGGGCTGGTGAGATGGCTCAGTGGTCTAAAGCACCTACTTAGAACAAGCTTCCCTAAAGCACAGGTGACCGCCGTTCAATCCCCCAGCCCCACATGCCAGCCAGCCCCGCCCCCTAGTGGGCTGAGCTGCCCCCCCATAAATAAATAAAAATTAAAAAAAGAAAAGAAAAGTGTTGAGGTCGAGAAGATGGCTCAATAGAATAAGTGCTTCCCTGGCACAAGGGCATTTAACAGTCACTGTTATCCATTAAAACACTTCCTGAGCACCTACTGAAGTGCCTGCTGATTTCACTGATAAAATTCAAGTAAATGACTTCTGGCTACTCAACAAATCTAACAACCTACCTGTATTTTGTACCTACATTATCTTCTGCACAAGAAAGGAGCTGTTAAGGGACCAGGAAAATGAATGGCTCAGTAGAATAAGTGCTTCCCTGGGAAGCCCAAGGGCCTCAATTCAATCCCCGGTTCTGGAAAAAAAAAAAAAAAAAAAAAGCTGTTGGTCTTATCCTCAGCATCACACACACAAAAAGGAACTGTCTTTTTTTTTTTTTTTTTTTTGGGCAGAACCGGGGATTGAACTCAGGCCCTTGGTGCTTGTCAGGGAAGCGCTTATTCTGCTGAGCTGTGTCCCCGGCCCCAGAACTGTCCCTTAATTGATAACTTGATCTTTTCCCATTCTGTTTACCCCAGGAAATCAATGCAGCCATGGCCCAGCATTTACCCTGTATAATTTATATCCATTTGAAACACATTGTCTTCCATCTTGGAAAAGGTAATGGCGCCTTGATCCTGTTTCTCCTTGCAACTTCAGTCCCATCCCTGCTGCTATTTTCAAAAAGTTTCATTTCTTGAAAAGTTGTCCATATGCTCTCTCTCTGTTTCTGCTATTGTTTGTTTGTTTGTTTGTTTGTTTGTTTCTTTCTTTCTTTCTTTCTTTTTTTTTTTTTTTTGTGGAGCCGGGGATTGGACTCAAGCCCTTGAGCTTGCCAGGCAAGCACTTATTCAACTGAGCCATCTCCCCGGCCCCCTCTGCTATTCTTTTTCACAGCCTTCTCAGTCACTACTTCATTGGAAACAACTCTTATCAAAATCACCAGTTATTGCCATGTTATCAAATCTAATGGTGACCTCAGGGGGTTTTGTTTATTTTTTTTGAAACAGGGTCTCGCTGTGTAGCCCAGACTAGCCTCCAACTCACAATAATCCTCCTGTCTCAGCCTCTCAGCCTCCTGAGAGGTGGGATTACAGGAATCTTCGAACATGTCTGGCTTCAGTCTTCATTTTAGGCTATGTACACAGCCACACTTGATGTTATTAATTTGTTCTTGACAAGTTACCCGGCCTCCAGAATATCTTTCTCTGAGCCCACTTTCACCAGTCTCTCCTTCTCACTTTCCTAAAGATAGCAGTTGGTCCTTCTGTCTTTATTCTTGTCTACATTCACTCATTTGCATCTAGGTGAACTAATGGATCTGAACTAATGGATACAGATCATCTGTATATGGACAATTTTCTTTTTTTGGTACAGGGTCTTACTATATATCTTGGACTTATAGTGATCCTCCTGTCTCAGCCTCCCCAGTGCTGGATTACAGGCATGCACCACCACATCCAGTTTTGGTGGTCAGCTGGCACAGCATGAGGTACTGGGGATTGAACCCCAGTCCTTGCACTTGCCAGGCAGGCACTTAGACCACTGAGCTATCTCTGCACAGCTTCCCCACCCACCCACCGCGGCCGCATTTTTTTGGTCTGGCTCAGACTGCCTTAAGGGTGGGTCTGGTGGGGCATGTCAAGTTGGGGATAGTACTGCAGGCCCTTGCGCCTGACTGAGTTTGCCCAAGCAGGCACTTCAAACTGAGCTAACCCACAAGCCCCTTTTTTAGTATTTTTGAGACAGGGTCTCGCTATGCAGTTCAGGCTGGCCTTGAGCTCACTTTGTAGCTCAGGCTGCTCTTGAACTCACAATAACCCTCCTGCCTCAGCTTCCCAAGTGCTGAGAGTATAGGCATGCACTACCATACCCGGCTTATGCTGATATTTCTTACATTTGTACTTCCTGCCTGGGCCTGTCCTATGAACTTCAGATGTACTTCTGCACTGCCAGCTGAGTGCCTGAGATTTCAAAAGTCATGGCTAGGCTGGACATGATGGTGTGTGCCTATAATCCCAACACTCCTGGGAGATTGAGGCAGGATTATAAATATTAAGCTTAACCTAGGCAATTTAGCAAGACCCTGTCTTAAAACTTTAAAAAAGGCTGGTGATGTAGCACTGTGTGGAGGAGGCCTTGGGTTCAATTTCCCAGTATGAGAAATGAAAACAAAAACCCATGAGACCAGGTGTAGTGGCAAACTCCTATAATCCTAGCACTTGGGAGGCTGAGCTGGGAGGGCCACTGTGAGTTTGAGGCCAACCTGAGCTACATAATCAAGGTCAAGGCCAGTCTGCACTACATAGTGAGACTCTGTCTCAAAACAAAACCAAAGGGGCCAGGGAGATAGTAGAATAAGCACTTGCCTAGTGAGTGCAAGGCCCTGAGTTTAATCCCTGGTTCCAGAAAAAAAAGAACCCTAGAGCCATAACTGAAATTTTGGTTTCCACTCTTTTTTTTTTGTGGAACGGGGGATTGAACTCAGGCCCTTGCGCTTGCCAGGGAAGCACCTATTCCACTGAGCCATCTCCCTGGCCCCTCCACTCATTTTTTTTTTTTTAACATTTATTTATTTATTTATGTGTGTGTGTGGCCAGCTCAGCCCACCAGGGGGCAGGGCTGGCTGGCATGTGGTGCTGGGGGATTGAACCAGGGTCACTGTGCTTTGTTTAGCTTAGCTTGTTCTAAGTAGGTGCTTTAGACCACTGAGCCATCTCACCAGCCCGCCTCCACTCATTTTTAATAGGACTGCTGCTGGTCCATCTAAGAAAATGGCCATTCCTCTGGTTCATGTATTCTCAAGGGGGACAATATCACATCTAAGGGGATGAAAATTGGCTTTCAGAGGACTAATATTAAAAATATTTGGGGCCGGGGAGATAGCTCAGCAGCATAAGGGCCTGCCTGGGAAGTGCAAGATCCTGAGTTTCATCCCCTGTACGAATGAATAAATAAATGTTTGATGGCCTGTCAAAGCTCATTTTATTTCATTTTCTTTTTTTTA